AATCTCTATATCCACAAGCTATTTTTAATCTGCTGTTTTTAAAAAGGTTTTAATAACAAAAACAACTAATGGTAACCAAAGCCAATATCCTAAGTTGATGTGGGAGAAGTGATACAAAGAAATGGATAAAGCTCACTGCACGTGGAAAATTAACTAGTTGTTACTGGTAAAGTTTAGTGCCTGGATTTAGATCTTTTGAATAATATCTAGAAAATTTCCATCTGAGGCTGCAAAGCACATCAACTTTCTGAAAATATCTATCCTCAAAAATGTTTTGAACAGAAATTTCTGACATTCCAGTATCTGGATACTAAAGGAAATATGAAAGCTGCAGTAAAGGTCTTTAGATGTATAACAATGTGCCCAAAGTAAAGATGTAGAAATGATGCCAAAACATCTTTTTATTTTTTTACTTTGGAGTTCAAACTAATATATACAGTCATATATCATCTTTATATAGAAATATTGTAGTTTGTATAAAAATATTTTTGTTTCTGCTGCATTAACTGTAACTACTGCTCACAAAAGTAGCAGTCTCTCTATTGCTTTTCCACTGTGGAATTGAAGCTGGAATGACACCCGTCCACCAACAGTTGTTTAAAAAGCTGGTACCCAAGGGGCCGGCCCGGTGGCGCAAGCGGTTGGGTGTGCGCGCTCCGCTGCGGCGGCCCGGGGTTCGCTGGTTCGGATCCCGGGCGCGCACCGATGCACTGCTTTGGCGAGCCATGCTGTGGCGGCGACCCATATAAAGTGGAGGAGGATGGGCACGGATGTTAGCCCAGGGCCGTCTTCCTTGGTAAAAAAAGAGGAGGATTGGCGGATGTTAGCACAGGGCTGATCTCCTCACAAAAAAATAATAATAATAAAAAAAAAAAATAAATAAATAAATAAATAAAAAGCTGGTACCCAAGACAGGAAGAAAACTGCGGTGAGTTTGGCTCAACAAAGCAAGCATATAAAAACACCCCAAAATTTGAAGGAACCCTGTTGCTTTAAGTGGCCATCCTTTTTGTACTAACATACAAAAATCTAGACATCGAGATATCCCATCATTATGTCAAACATATAGCCTTAATCTTTGCTATGACAGAGATATTTCTCTCTCTCCCTCTCATCTCACGCTCCCCCCACAGACGGAGAGGGAGCACAGCAGAAAATTCTAGAGTCAGGTTCCATGACCACAGAATAGGAATAAGTCCTGCTTAGATTAAACTACAGCACCGAAGCTAGGAGCTGAGAAATGTCAAGCAACCACATAAAGAGCAAAAACATTTGAGTATACTATCAACTAAGAGTGGTAACAGAAGAAGCAAAGCAGAGTCACTGTCCCAGGGATCTAGTCCAGGAACCACAGCAAAAACTGCACAACAGCTTTTCACTTAATGACTAAGCGGTTCTGATGAAAATGATGAGGACCTAGTGATCAAGGAAGGTTTTGAGGGCTTGTGGGATTAAACTGGGTCCTGACATATAGGTAGAATCCAGGCAGGAGTAGGGAGGACATTTTGTAAAAGAGCCTCAGTCCCCCTTCTAGCCTTAAAACACTAAAGCAACAATGAACATGGTAGCCGGCTGGACACTGTGGTGCTCGGTCTGAGGACAAGAGTGACGAAAACCACAGAATCCTTTAATAAAAGACAAAGATACTAAGATGTGCCTTGAAGGATGTGTAAGACTCTGACAGAGATGGAGGCTGGAGCGCTTCCGGCAAAGGGAGCAGTAACTCGAGCAGAGGCCAACGGCAGCGCTCCAGGTGGGCAGCAGCATGGCATCCCTGGGACAGAACAAACTCACCTGCCAAGATGGTGGAGACGGATGCTGGAGACCATCACTGCCAGGCTGTGAAATCGGTAGAGAAGAGAGTAAGCAGCAAATGGAGAATAGGGAAATGACAAAACTACGTGTGCTTTAGGATTCCTCTGGCACGCTTAAGCAACATGAATGGAGAAACAGAGGACTCTAAAAAGATTTACCCAGAGAGTGGATTTATTTTCCTATAAAAGGCATGTATACCAATGAGATGCCCTTGATTTATCTTTCACATCTGGTCCAGTTTTTAACAACAACCATACACACAGATAAAGGTGTATGGAAATGGGCACTCATATGCTGCTGATAAAAGTAAACTGCTAAAATAACTGGGCAATATGTATCAAAAACCTTTAAAATTGTCCTGTCTTGTAATCTTTCCTTAGGAACTTATCCATGGAAAACAATCCAAACATTTCTCAGCTAAAAAAAGTATGCAATGATGATCAAGAATCATTGTTTATAGTAGCAAACATATTATAGGACCCTATGAATCTAATATTCTTGAATTCATTAAAAAACAATATTTATTTTTAAAATGAAGTTCACAAAGAGTTTGTAGTACAACACTAAAGCAAAAATGGCAATATAAAAAATTGCATTTAGGGGCTGGCCTCATGGTGTAGTGGTTGAGTTCAGCACACTCTGCTTCAGCGGCCCTAGTTGGTGGGTTCAGATCCCAGGTGCACACCTACACCATTCGTCAGCCATGCTGTGGCAGCAACCCACATACAAAATAGAGGAAGACTGGCACAGATGTTAGCTCAGGGTGAATCTTCCTCAACAACAACAACAAAAAAAAGTGCATTTAGAAGATTGTTATTATTCAAACACTTGTACTCTTAAGTCTCTGAACTGACGAGGTTGCAAAGGAAGTAAATAACACAAAAATATTCACAAATGAACTGACCAGTCATGAAATTAGATCCTATTCAAGTACCTCTCCCTAATTAAAAAAAAAATAAGGGGCCAGCCCAGCAGCGCAGGCGGTTGGGTGTGCACGCTCCGCTACGGCGGCCCAGGGTTCGTGGGTTTGGATCCCGGGTGCACACTGACGCACCGCTTGTCGGGCCATGCTGTGGCGGCGTCCCATGTAAGGTAGAGGAGGATGGGCATGGATGTTGGTCCAGGGCCAGTCTTCTTCAGCAAAAAAAGAGGAGGATTGGCAGATGTTAGCTCAGGGCCGATCTTCCTCACAAAAAAATAAATAAGACATAGATCTGTTCAATGGAATCACTGATCAATTAATTAGTTACTTGATCAATTAATTAGTTACTTGTTATTATATATATAATATATAACTTGATAGCTACTTGTTATTATATATATAATATATAACTTGTTAGTTATTTGTTACTATATATATAATATATAACTTGTTAGTTACTTGTTATTTGTTACTCTTGTGCTGAAACTGAGCATTTGACGATGGAATGCAGATACAATTCAATAAAACTGAACATATGCAACATTTCACGGTGACAGCAAAACAGACGTTGACTTTAGTAACAGACCAAGCTACTGACAAACAGGAACCTAGTGGACCAACTAACACCCGGAAAAGATAAGACCAACAAAGATAAGGCTCTTTAAAAGAGAATTTGTATATAAAAGAACCAGGAGGGATCACTGGAAAAAGAGATGCAGCTCTCAACTACTTTCACAAAATAAAGCCCTCCTAAGAATGTCTGTAAAATTCAAATATGAAGTGAAAAACATATTTTGGGGGAGAAAATATTACACCAGAAACAACACTTGAATCATTCTTTGTTCATTCTATGAACTGGCTTACAGATGCAACAATGATAAACTTTAAGTATAAGATAAAATTAATTTAATTTATAACTACTGTCATACTAAGATAAGGCCCAGTGAAACCTTTTCCACTATTTATGTGAAACTTAGATCCCTATTTAAAATATTCACATTAAGAAAACTTTTCCTATTCCAGTTATAATCAGGTAAATAAGACTGTATTTTAGTAAACTCAGTTATGTAAGAATAAAAAATGGACAAGAAAAAGACTGCAAAGATGTATACCAGTAGTTGCCACTGGAATGTGAGACCTTGGGTAATTTTTTTTTAAAGGGATATAACTAACCAAATACTGTTTGAAACAAAGCAAATACAGTAGTTAGTAAATAAGATTTTGAAACATATGCTAATATTTCATCTATGGATTACTATTGCTTTTTGATCTATCCATAGAAAAAAGGGTCTAAATTAGAGAAAATCCCTCTATCTCATTTAAGAAACATATCCTGGGTCCCTATGATGTGCTGAAGACAAAACTGAATAATAAGCATTTACTCATGCTTACTATGTACCACTTCATTCAATACTTACTATAATCCAACAAACTAATTATTGTATTCAATTTCTAGGGATTGAGTAAGATTAAGTAACTTTCCCCAGGTTATAAAACTAAATAGTGGATAAGCCATCCTTCAAACCAAGGCTGTCTACAAAGCCCATGCTCCCTACACTTAGCTCTGCATTACCCTAAAGAGACAGCCTTCAAATAACTTACACAGGAAGAGAAGAAATAAAGAAGCAAACAGCATGAAAGCAATGAAGATAAGTAGTAGTGTGCACCAGATGCTATAGGAGGCAAAAAAAAAAAAAAAAGAAAAAAAAGGTACTCTTAACCTCGGGCTGGGAAAGAAAAAGGGCCTAGTAGACATGGAGAGAAGATGGTTAACAGTTTCAAAGAACACAAGGAGGAGAAAGAGGAGGCAGACCATTCCAGGCAGAGACAATAACGTAGTTTTTCGGAAACTACAAATATTATTTGGCAACTGTTCCCTCAAAATTTTTGGTGAATTTTAGGTACAGAAATGAAACAAATGCTTACTTATAATATTTAATTGTTACTTTAAGTATATATATTTAAATTCACATGTTATAGAATATTATTTTCAAAGATTGTTTTTCACACTCTCATGAAGCAAGTTTACTCAGGTGCTTCACATGTATCATTGTCATCACCGTACTCATCAGTAAAGCCACTTCTTCAGTCTCAAGTCAGCATTCCAGAAGACAGCATCTTCATTTCTAAGTTGTTTGAGATAAAACTACTGTTGTTATTTAAGTATGTATGATACTGCCACTGGAACTGCTATCCAAATCAGAAATAACTATGCATTCGGGGCAGTTAGTTCTTCCATTTGGTTTTACACACACTGACTCACACTCTCACGATGTCCACATCACAATCACTTATTGTTTGCTTTTTTACGTGATCTTTAAACGGCGTTAGAAAGACAGTCAACAGTTGCAACTGTGAAGAATAATTACGAAATTGGTGTGAAAATGCTTTTGCCTTTTTGACCACTTCCACTAGTGAATCCTAAAAATATCTGGAACTAAGCACTGATAGAAATCATTTCCATTTGTAATATGTCATCACAAAGAATTCTTTGCTATTCAAAATAAAGTTGCGATAGTTCCCGTACTATGAGAGGTGCTGTGCAGTGCTCTTCTCCAGGGAATAACGTCTTGGGGAAGAGAGTACTCACCTTACACTCCAGCAGTCACAGTACTTCTATGTTAGCTTCTATATGCACATTAGAGGAAGGAAGAAAAAGAAACTTAAAATAGGTTTGACCTAGATCAGTGGTTCTTAAACTTTGGCATATATCAGAATCTCCTGAAGAGCTTGTTAAAACACAGATTCCTGGGATCTATCCCTAAGTTCCTGATTCTGTAGGAATAGGGCAGAGCCTGAGAATCGCATTTCTAACAAGTGCTCCAGCGATGTCAACATTGTAGGACCAGACACCGCACCCGAATCCAGATGACGCTAGATCTTGTGCATCATGGTAAGGGTTTACATTTTATCCTTAGGCCATGGACAGTCATCGAGGAATTTCAAGGAGGTTTTTGAAATGATGTTACAAGATTTGTGGTTTTCAGACTACCACTCTGACAGCAATACGCAGAGTGGAGCTTTCACATAAAACATTTCATTTATTTTAATATGTATGTTTTTCACATTTATAATTTCTGATAGTAAGATGCATTTTGCCATCAACATTGTATCTTAGTTTAACAGGCAGTGAATTTTCTTTCTTAGTGGTACATAAAATAATGGTATTTTAATTTACAGGTGGCTGATTCACTGAAAAACAATATTACTTCTTCTCCTACAGCGGTGCTGTAAGAGGGAAAGCAGGTTTTATTCCCAGTTTACAGATGAGGACACAGATTTTAGGACAATAAAAGAGACTCATTCCAGATCACACAGCTAATCAATTACAGATCCAAGATTAGAACATCCAAAATTTTTGACACATAAACCAAACATCTTTCCCCTAATATAATACTGCTTACAATAATGACCTATAGTTTGCTTGCCAGAGAGAGGGAAAGGAGATGAGGGCAAACCAGTGCACCATAATATAACAACAGGAGACAAGAAAAGACTTTATGGGAACCAAGTGCGAAATATCAAATTTAAGCAATTAAGATGAATTGCTTCAAGATTTTTATTAAGAAACTATAAATAAATGAAAACAGCCAAATGAACCACCTCCACAAATGTAGAGACAGAATCAGCACAGCAGTTTGGGAACACTGTTTCACAGATGCTGAAGATGCAGAATATGACATAATGTCTCTAAAGAGACAGACTCTGGTTTGAGGATTCACTTTAAATTACAGTAGGTGATGCCATGAAGTCAGGTTTGTGCCAAGACGGGCCCTGAGCCTGGAGAGCTGCCAGAACACCAGGCACCACCAGCTTCCTGAGAAACTACCAGAAACCCAAGACATTTCAGCAGCAAACAAAAACGACTCTCGAAAACCCACAAACTTTATGCTTTTGATAAAATTTGGTTTGGAAAGGTGTGACTTTCTGAAATACCATTCTGTGGGCTGCCAAAACGGTTTTTTAATTCTAAAACTTAAAGGAAAAAATTAGAATAGAAAATCTAACAAATATTGTTTGTCATAACATCCTACATATTCCCACTCCCTACTTCAAGTCTATTAATAAAAGATCCACTAAATTATGCTATCTACCCAACACATTCTGAAAGGCATACTCACGCCTTTACTTGGATCTATTAAATGTTCTAATTTCTAGGAGAGGAATTTGCAAATATTGTTCCTCATCAAACAGATCTTCCTTACTAAAACAGTGGAAAGTTCAGAGGAGTGAACCGTCTAAGCTGATAATTCTTCCGGAGCCCAGCAAGTCTTCACCTCAGAAAAGAACTCTAAATACTACCTAAATCTCACAATCAACTTCTGACTAGAAAAATGCAAAACAGACTTAAAAGAAGCCACAAAGCTTTTGCTGTAACAATCATGTACGTTTAAAAACTTGAATACCTAGATTCTAATAAGCTGAGAGCTGTCACACAGATGGTGTCTACCACCAGACACTCGGGTGCTCTATTAAAGCCACAAGCCAAACTTGAAGAATCTAAGGAAGCAAGTCCAGAGAAGTTAACACATGATATTTTTATTTTTCCTGCTTGGTTTTAGGTTCATTATAAACATTTAAATCTTGGACTGATTTAGGAGAAAGCATTTAAATGTTCATAAACAGCCAATAACAGCAGCAGTACATTCTGACAATTAAAGCACCTAAAAAAGCTACAGTATTATTAAGTTTGACACAACTCATGAGCAAAATAACCCAGAGTTAAAGGCAAGGCATATAACTAAATCAACCTCTCTGTCAAAATTAACTATTCTGTACTCCCCCAACCAGACAAATGACAAGAGGCTCTAAGTAAGGGCTGAATCATGCAGGGCAAACAACAGCAAAGCAACTACTTGGGACTCCAACCAGGGGTAATTAACAATCATTTTGAAGTCAAAGCGTATTCCCTTTAAAGACACTGCTTGCCTCATTGAAATTCCTAATAGATAGATATCAAGAAACTAGACTATTATTATTATTATTATTATTACTCTCATCCATCAGGTGTAAACAGATGTAAGAAAAGTTCAGACAGGAGTCAGTAGAAAGCACTGCCTCCCACTCCTGGAGCAGGAGATGTGGTCTGTCCCTGCTCCCTGGAGGCCCAGGCATAAGCCCTGTGCCTGGAACACTCTCACTCTGAAGGAGTCACTCAAGGTCACAGGTAGCAAAATCATGGTGGGAGGGGTCCAGCTACAGCAGTAGGGCATGTCCAGTAGCCATGAAGTCACAAGACGATCCAGCAAAATGACAGTGGCTGCTGCTTCTCCAACTGTTCCCCAGTTTTTCTGTTGCCCATTAGCTACTTCAATATTTCCAATAAACCGCATTTCTAGTAAAAATAGCCAAAGTCAGTTTGTATTGCTTGGAATGCAGAAGCCTGATTGATAGGCTTCACCATTACACAGTCTCCATTTTATTTTTGTTAAAATTAAACAGTTTTTGAAAACTTGTGTAGTTGTTTTGTTTTGGTTTTAATAACAAAATCATTTGGTTTAGTAGAAGGTTAGCAAGTAGAGAGAAGTACAATGAAGAAAGTAACATCATTTCTAATCCCACCACCTAGACAGTAACAACCATAACCATTCTGGAGCACACCTTTCCAAGCTTTTTGCCCAAAGAGACATTTTGACCCCAGAGAAGAAAGCATGGACACAGTAACCACAGTGGAGATCTACTAAGTCATTAAGCCACGTGACCACATAATTCATCACCCAATACGCTTCTCAGAGTAAAAGGGCTTCTTTCCCCTCCTCCCCTTTTAATAAGTCAAGAAAACATATATAAATTGGGGCGATCTCTGGCAAACCCAAGTGTATAAATGCCCTACACATCTGCATAGTTCAGCCTACTGATTAGGATTCCCTACTTTGGAAATAGTCCTGTTCATCAGAAGAGGCTATAAATTACAAATCCTTCTTACCTAGCATGATTTATTTTTATCAGTTGGTAAAAAGGAGAACAAGAAGATAAACCTTTCTAAGTCCTAACCAATCCAAAATTTTAATGAAAACTAATATAATTAGCATCAAAAAGTACAAAATACAGATATCACCCCTTCCTTCTTCAGTCAGAAAAAATTTGATACAATTTGTCTTTGCACAGGAAGTCATTCAACAAAAAACATATCGTGAACAAAGGACTTTTTCTCTGAGTTATCAAGGCACCACTGAAGCAGTACATCCAGTTCTTCACACCCACAATAATACATCTTTTGGGCTTTTTTCCCCTATAAGTGGGTCAGAGCCCTTAAGAAGGCTGAAGGGGGAAAACAGCCTGAACATCAAAATATATTGTTTCAAACATACTCCTAGGAACTGACAAGATGTGATGGGATGAGAGTGAAAAATAAAGACACGATTAATAAAATCTAGTTTGACACAACCAGATGCAGGAGTAGCACTCTACAGTATAAAGCAACAACAGAAAAACTACTGAGGTACGGAAAATCAGAGTACGGACAGATTTAATTACAACGATACACGGTTGATAAGAACAAGAAAGCCAGAGGCCCCTGAGCTTAATTTTCTCTCTGCCTTTAAACCAGGACCTCATTTTGTAGCAGCTTCACTTTTGGCTTTTTGCCTTAGTCAGCAACGGTCCTTCCTACTGGCTATTTCCCACCTCGCATCTCAAGGCAGAAGAGGAACCCTCTCCCATTCCCCATGTCCACTCTACTACAGCAGAACAAGTTCAATCTCTAGATTAAATATATTGGGCACAGCCTAAAAGGTCAAAAGTAAATTTTCTGTAAACTTATTTTTATCCCTTTTTGGAGAGATAGTGAAATAATCACATTTTATCTGGAAGCAGTATGGTATGAACATACTTTAAAACATTTCTTTAAACTGAGTCCCAAGAATATAGACAAGGTAGAAAGACCACATGAGGCCCATACATTACGCCTGGTTTATAAAGTTCTCTACATATAAATCCTGGACAGAAATTACAAATAGGCAGGGACAAAGGGAGAGAGGAAGGGAAAAAAATTTTTTTAACTTAAAAGCCTAAAAATAGACTGCAGTTTCAGAAAGTACAGGGTGAACTAACAGTGGACCTTTGAACCTCACTTGTTTCTAAAAATGGAAAGATTTCTGGGCAATGAGAAAGAATACTGCTTTAAAACGGCAATTTTTAAAATATATTTTTTCCCATATGCTGTATTTTAAATATGCTCTTGATTTATTGTAGGCCTTTAATTACCACAATGAAAATACTTACCTGATATTTACGAAAATGTTTTTATTTACTGACTATTTTTTTACCAGATATATTTATTTACCGAATATTTACCTTAGAGTTTAAGATGCTTAATTAAAGTAACCTTTGGCGCTACTGCAGTTGACAGTCTGCAATGCTTTATTATCATTTTGTGGGTTTGCCTTAAAGAATATTCAAGAACCATTTTGCCAAATTGCAGGCAAGAGTTTAAAGGCAAAAAGATGCAAGGACTCTAAGTGAAAGCACTTTTCAACTTTTTAAAAAGAGATTGTACGGTAAGGAAGGGATGTAAACTTCTTTTTGTAACTTTGCTTCTAAATAACTCTAATTCTGATACCAAATTAGATGGTGACAAATTGAGGTACATAACAGGACTATAGGGCTAAATTTAGATGCTCCTTCTCTGCAGCATCTGCCAGCTCCTAGACCAGATATTGAATGGTTATCTTGCCCTAAACTCTTTATGTACACTATCGCAGTTAAATCTCATGATTACCCAACTGGGGCATTATTATATTTGCTTTATACAGATACAGAAACTGGGGCCCAGCGTAGGTTACCTACTTGCCCAAGGTAAACAAAGCAATTCAGTGACTGAGCTCCTTCAAAAATCTAGCCTGGTTCCAAAGCATGTGATCATTTCTCTATGCCAAGTTCCCTCTCATAGAACAATACCGCCCACCATATCTTGAGCGTCCATTTTATGTACATTATCTCCTTCAATCCTGACAACTGCATGTGAGGTAGGCATTATCATCTTTATTTTAAAGGTTAGGAAAACTAAGACAAAGAAGTTAGCCTGCCAGGATTTAGCTTCTGGTCCATGGTTCCAAAGCCCATTTACTTTTTCCAAAATATTACACTGCTTTCAGTCCTAAAACTCTATGATTCTATCATCACAAGATGATCCCTTCCTTTACAGGGAACAGTGATTCTATGCAGGATGAAGATCAAGTCAGATATGACCTTTTGTTACCACTGCAACTCTCCTCTTCCTCCTTCACATGCCCATCATCATCTCTCCCAGCAGAATGACCAGACAACTTCTCAAGGATTTATATTATTGTCAGTCACTCTCGCTACCACTTCTGTCAAACAGATCACTGGAAAAGCTGAAAGATAGTGGAAGGAAATCTTCCCCCAATAAAAGGTCATCAGAGCCACTGTCAACAGTCTGCCACACTCTGCATGATAACCTGACTCCAAAGCCCTAGGACCAAATCAAGTTTGATATGTTTTTAAGATAAAAAATTAAATATTTCCCACTGTCATTTCCATCTTGTTCCATTATCACCTGGTTGATGAGCGGCAACATTTCTAGGTCTGCTGCTTCATCTGTATGATGAACAACACAATCTCAAATGACCCTTCCATCTTAGAGCTCTAAGTTATCTGATGTACATCCCCCTCTTCCTTTGCCTGCTTGTGAGGAAGAGGCTGGGAATTTATGGGGGGAGGAGTTGTAGATAAAACCCCACAGTAAGTAAAGCAAAGTAGCCATTATTAGGGTCTACTGTATACACAAAGATCTACTCATAGGCACACACACAAGTCCAATCTGAAACAAGTAACAAAAAACAATCTCAAGCTTGTGCTTTGCCAACCCAAAATGGATATCTATTTTTAGCTCCAATCCACTCAAGAGAGGGCCTAGGCTGGTCTGCAGCAGACGAACGAACAGCCAAGTGGGCTTACCAATGAATCTTAAGGTAAGCAAGATCTCCAATCCTTAAGAATAACCTTTGGCTTGACTACAGCTATAAACTGAATGTAGGAACAGAAAGCTACGAAGGCTTAAAGCTTGCCAAGGAAGTAGCATTTCAAATGTATAATTCTACTTTAGTATTTTATTTATTCTGGTAGAAGGTGTGGCGGCCAAGGCTTAAAAAGACTGGACATCTTTATATTCTAATTTTAATTCTCCAAGTCTAGATGAGTCACTTTATAGTTGCTGAACGGGATACAGGAGCAAAGGTGGCAAGATTAAAATTCTAAACAATAAACTTTAGGGCTGTGAACAAAATTGGAAATTTTAATAAACTCTGAATATGAGGAGTCGTCAGCACATAGACGGTACTCAACACCATGGAAACAAATGAGATCATCTTCAGAGAGAATGCAGATCTAGGACAGAGACCCTGAGGGAGGGCCAACATTCAGATAAAGGAGAAACCAACAAAGAAACTGAGATGGATCACTCTTAGTTCTTCATCTTCTATTCCAACTTCTTCACTAACCAAAGAAAGAAACCTTCTGTATTAAGCATATCTATGTATTTCAGAGCCAGATATTTTGAAGACTGAAGACAATCAACTATAATTTTACCAATTTTGATAGGTGGCCGGTTAATGACAGTCATCTCATTTGCCTAGAACCGTCAGGAGAAAAGGAATTGCACAAGAGTGAAATCTGCTGATGAGGACATTTCCAGATAAAGGAAGCTTTTCTCTTTTTACGTGAACGGTTCATAGATCAAACGCCTTCAAGAATCAGGCAGGTAAGTGTACAGGACTAAGATACACATGGTAAATGTGGTCCTGGTTCTCCTAGAGTGGGCCTGAGCCTCCCCTATGGGCATTCAAATTCAGTATTTTGCAAAGAAAAATGGAGAGCCTGGGACTCACAGTACCCTGGGAACTGGCAATCAAAACCACGTCTCCATGGGCTCCTAACTACAGCACAAGGCTGCATGCTAACAGGCTGTTCTTTCATTTAATATCACCGAAGTCTTCCTTCCTGCCATTCACCATTTTTCTCCACAGAAGAAGCGCAAACACATTCTGCTGTAAAAGGAGGCACTTTTTAAACTGACCAGCTCTGTGATTTGGGCTAAGCTATCTCCAATCCATCTGTAAGAGAGAGATAATATTGCTACAAGGACTAACGGAAAGAGTGCTTGAACTCAGAAAAAGGTTCCAGACTCACTGAACATTAGGCATTAATGAAAGATGAAAAGGAGGAGGAGGACGAGACGGGGTAAATGATGATGACCCTTCTTAAGTACATCACTGATCATCAAGGTGCCAATACCGCCTACACAGCTGTAAGAATCATCCAAGGGCTACACATACAAAAAAAAACCTCAACCTTTCATTGGCTTCTTGTTTTA